CCCCCTCTCTGCGCTGTCCCTCGGGACCGGGGAGCCCTTACCCGATGTGCTTCCTCCTCAACGCCAGAGTGTCCTGCTTGCTGTACAGCTCGCACATGGTGGCGGGCGGCCAGGCGCTCCCCGGGGTTCCCCTCTCCTGTCTGCGCGCCTCCTCGCAAGTCAGCGCACGGCCTCGCTGGCAGGTCTTCCCTCCCGTTCCCCCGCCTTGGGTGTCTTTGCCCTGGGCTTCGGAGGTCAATGGTGGCATCAACTAGCTAGGGTCATCTCCTTTTAAATCTTGCCCTGCATTTACCCTTCCCCAAGCCCCACCCCCCTCCGCCTGGTGCCTGCTTGGCAAGTCACCGGGCGATCCACTCATTCGCCACCCATCTCCTCCCGCAGTCTAACTGGCTCCAGTTTCTGCCCTGTTGATTCTCCCCTCCCCTCCCCATCCCTGCTTCTTCTTCGGACTCGCCTTTTATTTCCCTAACCTTGCCTTGCCTTTCTTCCTCCTCTGCCTGTGAATTCCCCTCCTTCCTGCGTGTGTGTGTGTGTGTGTGTGTGTGTATCTCATTATTTTCTCTCGTTTTCTTTCTTTTTTCTTTTATTGTGGGGGAGAGAGAGAGAAACATTGATTTGTTGTTCCTGACCAGGGATCGAACCTTGACCTTGGCTTACCAGGAGGTCACTCTAACCAACTGAGCTAATAGGCCAGGCTCTCATTATTTTCTTGTAAATATTCAAAGGCACTCTTTGGAGATGTAAAGACTGAACAGTTGTCTCCATTCTCGCACTGAGAGTATTCCATTACCATAACCTACCGTAACTCAAGGAAAGTAACAAGTCCGGGTATGGGAGCACCAAAAATAGACAGTGCTCTTCCTTTGAGCCCTAACCCACCAGTCCCTCTTACCTACAACAGACTGGAAGATTCATGATATGAAGACATTCATGATTCTTGTAGAGCTTCATAGCCAAACACAGCTTTTTTTTTTTTTTTTTAAATCCTCACCTGAGGATATGTTTTTATTGATGATGATGATGATGATGATGATGATATATAGAAACTAACATTTACTAGACAGTTATTACCTTCCAGGAATTGTGATGTTTGCTACAGGAATTACCTGATTTAATTCTCACCACAGCCTTATGAGGTCTGTTCTATTATCCCTCTTCACTGGTAGATGAGGCACCTGAGACTTAGAAAGGTCGAGCAATTTTCCCAAGGTCAGTGAACATGTAAGTGGTAGAGTGGGGCTTCCACCCAATCAGAGCCTGAGCACTTAATTGCCACAACACACAGTCTCCTGCTATGATCTACTGTCTACTCTATACAGTCACTCCTTTGGAATTCATTGTTATTGCATTTCTTTGCTTCCTTTTA